TTGAAATTAACTGGAAAAATAGTAACTATTCGAATTTAAAAAAAAAATCATCGTACCGAAAAATGGATTCAAACCACGTGTTAAGAATGTGTCGCATGTGTCGCACTAACGAAAATAAAAAGCAACTGCAAAGGATCATGCAACCTACAGTAAATAGAAATAAGCGCAGCACTATCCTTTCTATTCTTATGGTAACATATCATCATTCACATTTCCATGAAGAAGATGATGGATAGCCAATAGAAATAAACATGATCACCTTATATGTGATGCTTAAGTCATACTGTATAGTTACCACAACGATTTATTTACAAGTTTCTTTGGAAAGATCCCTATCTTATCTGGTAACCCATTACTGATAGTAAATAACAGCCATATTTTGAAAATTTCTAGAAACTTTCTAAGTTCGACATTGAAAAATCGTTATTACCAATCACTAGTTACTATTGATAAAGTTCATTTTCGAGATGTTTTGTTTTGTTACAAAATTTGCTAGAGATGCTATTTGAAATTACACCGTTATCCACCTCCTCCTCACCTTTTACACCTTAGAAAAAAATTTTAACGGATTCTGCACTGAGTGAATGGGCAATTACAATATAGCCGATTTACTTAACGAAGAATCTTTCCACGATCTTTGTATAGATGAAAGTGTTAGTAATTCAAACATTCCAGTATGATATTTGTGAGCAACCAGGTGTTAAATTTCGTGTGAACGCTGATGGCATTGGGTCGGTATTAATAGTCAAACATTTTTTTTGATCTTGAATATGCTGATCTTGCGTGACAAACATATTTATGTTTAGTGAAGTAAAACAACAGTAATAAATGTCTTTTAAAAATGTTAACTAAATAGAATATGTGTGACTTCGCAGTTTGGCATATGCAGAGGCGTTGATTTAATTATAGAGGAAGTGAACCTTCGCTTGAATTAATATCAAAACTTCATAATATTAGTGTTACAATAGTTGTGTGTTCAGTTATTATCTCTGAGATGCATAATACAATGAAAAAGATTTTCTCTATCTGCTGTCGTCAGAAAATTGAGTGAAAAACGAAACATACACGATAAGAAATTCTGTTTAATGCACTTCCCTGTCTTAAATTACTATTCATCATGCAACATTTCTACTTCATTATTCTTGTTTATCTCGTATATTTATTCGAAGCTTTTTATTGTATGATTTGTCATTTATGTGTCACTCTCTTTCTGCATCTTTGATATCTATGGTTACTTTGACTCAAACGATATACTAATGCTGCAAACCCCAATTAGATACTTTTCATTCAGATAAGCAAAATTGTGTGATAGATATTTCTCTAAGTCTAAGAAAATGCTCTACAGAGAGAAAAGCGTTTCGTGTGACAGAGATAGACCAGTATCAACAAGTATTTTGGCATAGTACCTAGAAATAAAGCTTATCTGTTCGAGTGATCTCAAAACTATTTTATTTTGATTTCGATACTAAACGTTTAGTGAGCATGCACAAGATAACAGGGTTCGTCAATACTAACCAAGGAACTATTTAGTCATTTGATGGTGCGCAGCTCTTTTAAAACTTTTGACAAAAATCTCTTAATGAGATCAGATAATCGTGACAAATTTACATATGTGAGCATGCCTCAACATGTGTCAAAACTGAAACATTTTGTTGTGTAATGATTGAGGATAAGACTTTTTATGATCATATTCCAAAATAAGAGGCAACAAAATAGTGATAGGAAATTTTTTTAATTGACTCCACTTCATTTAGAGACTTATTTCCGTAAAGCTTTGATTGGATATCCGGTTTTATGACGATCTGAGATTTTTAAGAATTTTTGTTGAAAAACTCGGTCAAACTCCGATATTTCCAAAGTGAGTTCTCAGACAGTCAAACCATTCTTCATCTAGGGCTCCTTTACTAAGATGAATCGATCTAATCAGTTTAAATAGAAAAACGTCCAATAACTTTTGAGAGGTTTCCTCGGAAACAATCTTCATAAACGAACAAGACATCACGTGAGGAGTAAAGTTTGCAATTACTCTCGTAGTAAGAGGAAGTACGAGCTTGCTATAGATTCAAGTGTTATTTCATGAAAAAATTACGTTGCTTATCGTGTTTAAATCATGTCTCGTACACTCCCATAGTAAGAATAATCGATTATCAACAACCAAGGATATTAGCAGATAAACATTTCACTGGAAAAGGTTTCATCTCACAGTATGAGATTAGGACAAATTAGAACTCGATCTTAAAGTGAATCTAGAAACAAATAATGTCAATTCTATTGGTATTTGTGTTCTTCTATGTACTCATACTCAGCAACGCTGCGCCAACCCTAATCTGCATGAACAAAGTTGATAAGACTGATATTCTGAATGTTTTATTTTGACATCGTACTATTGATAGATATTTGTATCCTGAAGATAGCTCCATTTATGAGGTGAAACAAGAAGTTTTCTATCTAATATTGATTCAGGCACACACGAATTTCTGAAAACGCGTCTAAACATCCTAATCGTGGTTCTTCCTGAAGCATTTCATGTCCATTCAGAAAACACCGAAACCAGCACTACTTTTGCTCTAATATTACCCTAAAGACACTTAAAAAACCAACTTTTTCATTGGGAAGACGTATAAAACGTTGTCACAGTATTTTTGATTTGCACTGCGTATAGAAAAGTCATTTTTATTTGCAAAAGATTTTTCAAATTATTGTGAAAAAAAATTTTTACATTTTCAGAATGCAAAAGTTAGCTTTTTTCATCATGTTTCTGCAACTTTTATCATGAAAGTGACTTTCTATAGTGTTTATAAATGGATCTGAAAGCGCTCACACAGAACCCACGATTAGGACGCTTAAATATGTTTGTCTAAAATCTTGTTTGTTTAACATATGGTGCTATTGTCATCGTCAAGGTTTTTTCAAATTTTCATACTTCGCTGTTCGATATATATCATACTTTTATTGTGACATGAGATTCTCTGAATTCTCTTTGAAATAAAGTTCAGTTTTGTCAAAATCACTGTCAGTGCAGCGATAAAATCAGATAAGTTTTAGTAATGAATCATTAATAGCTTGTTCTTGTGGCATCATACAATTATAGATTCTATTTGGTATCTAATTTTACTATTAAGAGACAAGCAATCACCAGTCGTTGACATTGTCTGATTTGCTAATCATAAGAATCACTAAAGCAAATACTGAAAGATATTCTATCATTATATTACTATGTCTCCATTATTGCTGAACAACACGCTCATTGACATTGAAAAACAAATTGTACGCACTGTCTATTCAGTATGGTTAATACTTGGTGTACCTGGTGGTATACTCAACTTACTCATATTTTCTCGACGAAACATGCGTAAAACTTCCTGTTGTATTTGTAAGTATATATTTTTAGATGCCTAAATAATCAGTTGGAAGCAGTAGAAAATTGAACTTATCCAACAAGGAGTTATTTTTTCGAGTGAAATCGAATGCCTGAATCTTTTTTTCTATTCAATAGAAACGCTAGCAGAAATTATCTTGCAAGAGTAGCTCCTATAAATCTCTTTCGTATCTGTAACTGATTAAGATCATCTTTTTCATCGACGAACGATGTCATCGAATAATGAAGCGTAACATGTAAATTGATGACTTCAGACTACACAGAAATCTTATTTTGATCTATGAACTGTATATCTGAGTTTTATGAAACACAAAGGTTACTGCATCTTGAAATATATAGTCAGAAAAGTGATACTACCAAGTTCTGATCTAGTGTCCACCTGCTCACAGATATGTGACAGATATTTTGATGGTATTTTTATCCTATCACTGATCATGACAAGATGTGAAAATTCTATATGGAACTTTGAAACCTTGAAACTATAGGATTCTATCGGATTCATGCAGCTCAACTTGGTTTGAAATCTCAAAAAGGAAAAAGTTAGGTTTCTCTTTCTTTTGTAATGTGATCTTATAGCCTTTGTTACAGGCTATGATAGACATTCGGATATAGTGCCTCTTGACCACTTGACGAGTTACGAAGAATGCAAAACATGTCTTCTTGTACAATTAAAGTGACTCTGCCGTATTTCACCTGCTAGTCTCGCAGAGATTACACCAAAGGCTTTTCTTTATGTAGTTTCTAGAATTTTTCTACAATTCAATGTTTATTTTGTCGCATACCTGATACAGAAAGCATACTATTTTATTTATGACTTTTTGGAAACTTCTCGATAATAACAAACCACGTCATTGTAGCGAGACTACTTCTGATAACTTAAATAAGATTGCCGTCAAGATATATATGGTTGTATGAATATTTATTCCAGTAGTACGTCACTTTTGAAGCATTCGAAGAATGTTATTTTCATTCTCTGATGAAGAACTTTGATCCTGCATGTCTCAAATAGTCTAAAACCTTTGTGTAGACGAAATAAAATAGCATCAAGACTATGTTAGAATAAAACTATTAAGGCGATTATTATCAATATCTTGTTAGAAACAGTGTTGATGTTTTAGTAAAACAAAGTGAGAAAAACAGAACGAAATAGTCTGTTTTTTGATTTTTACATATTTGATTTGCAAAAACGAAACCTTGTTTCTTTCTAATAGATTTTTTAGCAACATCTCTTAACAATCTGGTAAGCTTGGGTATAGGTGTCGTACCAGTAATCTACAGTCTTAACCATCCTGATCCATTGGCAACCTCGGTTGTATTTTGCAAGGTTCGTGGCTATTTTCTTCAAATATCTTTAATGATATCGAGGTGGTTTATTTCGTTTGCTTGCATCGACCGGTATGCAACGAGTTCGAGTAATCCACGTATAAGAGCATTTGCACAAGTACGTATCGCCTATTATTGCATCATTGGAATTATTTTCTTTTGGGTGATTGTGGCTACTCATCGCCTAATATTCTATGAGGTCAAGGGAACTTTGTGCGCTATCGTAAGTAACTCAGCAGCTGCATTCTATCACACCATATATGTTCTTCTCGGTGGTGGTATACTCCCAACTACAATCATGGTTACAACAGCTATTCTTATACGTCGTAATCTTTACATTAAAAAGCAAAAAAGAATTCAGAAGGTTACCATCCGGTTCCTTGTTGATCAACAAAAACGTAAAGAATCAATGGATACTCAAGTAGCAGCTATATTGTACGTACAAATTGTTTGCTATGTTATACTTATGACACCTCAAATGGGAAACGTAACATATAATGCGATAGTAAGCACTATTCCTAATAGAAGTATGAATTCCCTTGCTGTCGATCGAATGATTGCTTTTCTTGCTGAATTAATGATGTACGTTTTTCCTGTATTCGCTTTTTATTTGTATACATTGTCGTCGCCTACTTTTCGGTCAGAATTATGGAACATTATGGGTCCGGCATCAATTTTTTCTTCACAAAGACAAAACAGACAAATCAATCCGGTGATACCATCAATTTTAATTAATTCACCGAATAAAGATTATGGTTCACGATTGGACCCGAGTCCAAATTTGACTAAAGCACAATTACACAGCATTGCTGTTATATCTTAAACCTGAACTACCAACATATAGCGATGCAAGAAATTCAAATAAACAATGAACAAAAGTAATCATTTACAGAAATAAATATTATTAGTGTCATAGTCTATATGTATGCTTTAGTTGCGAGAAGGAAACAGCAGATTTCAACACTTCATGAGACCTCAAGAAACTTCGAAAGATGTCATGAACTTCTAGATTTCGTGACATTTCTAGACTGAAATCTCTGCTGTTTCTCTCTCACTTAGTTGTAAGTCAATATATTAGTTCTATTTTGAACATTTCAATCATGTATTTCAATGCGTTTTGTGCTTGTTAAAATAATAAAAGTGAAAAAACAAAGAACGGAATGCTCAACCAAACAAACATATTAGCAATATGTAGCAAAAACTCTAAAATATCACACTTTTGATGCTCATTGGCTCAACCATTCGTCGAACTGCACGCTTTTTTATACTCGGAAGAGCATCATGATCAATAGTTCTGGAATTTCATTCGTTTTCTCTTTTTTCTTTGATCACATATCTACAATGTGAAACGTTAACATGCTGATATTTTTACTCAAGCTAAGGGTCATCGAGTTCTACTACCAATAAAAATTTTAATTGCTTGAGTCTGGTCTTATCAGATTAATTATCAAAATATGCGCCGTTATGGAATTTCAGAAAAATGGAAGTTTTTCCAAACTGCTTTAAAGTGTTCTATGTTTCTACAATCTGAAGCGCTATGCCACAAAATATTCCTTGTGAAAGTATGCGATTCTTAGGAGCTCTCAAAACCTCTACTGTATTTAAATAATGTTTATTAATCATTGAAAAAACTTCACCATACTATCCATTAGGGAATTTCATGTTTTTTTCTGTAAGTTACATTTTAAACAAGTATAAAATTCACACTACGCAAAAGTAAACGGATATTCGCCATCAGCGTTAAATTCAACAAAAGCATGACGTAGATATTGATGTGTGGTTGAATTTGAATGTGAGGCGTGAGCCCATGTAGGTCTGTCTGTTTGTTCATTCACTTCACACCTTCTCGTTTAAGGAATGACAAGACAATGGACAACTATCTCGAACTGAATAAGAAAATAAACATTTCCATTAGGATAGGCGAGACATTAAGAGCAATTATATCGGATTCAATTATATAAACATAAAAAATAAAGTCTATATTAGAGACGAGCAAAACGAAATGTATTTAGTATCTATTATTAATTAAGGTTTGTGGTAAACTAAGATGATAGGAACACCATATAGTAACTAACCCTAATGAAACATCTTGTAACCAAAATCTGGTCAAAATCTTGCAAAGATATTTTATTCTTATATTTCTGAATCGTATTAGATTGATCTCTACCTAAGATCTTGGCAAGCTCTATTTCCGAAATTTATAATCTTAAGCTAGGGATGTGCAGTTCCGGTGAAAACAATGAATTACTGACAGTGATACCACTGCACTGAGCGCACTGACTGCAGTGACACACTGACACTGGTGTTCAGTGAATCGGTACATACACTGACACTGGCGTTCAGTGAATCAGTGCATACACTGACACTGGTGTTCAGTGAATCAGTACATACACTGACACTGGCGTTCAGTGAATCAGTACATACACTGACACTGACTGCTTCGGTTGCAGTGTCTGCACCGACATGGTGTTCACTGAATCAGTGCATACACTGACACTGATTGCACTGGTTCCACTGTCTGCACCGACATTGGTGTTCACTGAGCCAGTACATACACTGACACTGACTGCACCGGTGTCAGGGTTCACCGGAACAGCGCTGCTTACTGAAGTATCAAGTCGCTGACTCTATCAAAGTATGCACTGCTCATGACTTTATTTATGACTGTCAATGAAATTAGCGAAATGGCCATACCTATTCCTCCAGAAAATAGGATTCATTTAAGTAATCTATAATTTTGAATAATAAAGTCGATTTCAACGAAATACGACTCTTATAGTCCTAATATTGACACATAACTACGGGATTTTATTACTCAACCAGATTCATTTAAAGAAGATGAGAGTTTCTCAAAATTTATGTGGACTTTGTAAAACCATTTGTATCGTTACGATTACATAAATTTTTGGCTTTATTTACTCCTTTTTTATGCAATGGTGAAAAAAGGGTATGTACGTGAAAGTGTATGTAGCTTATCTCCACCAAGAAACCAAACTATTGAGCAGATATGCTTCCATTCAATGAAATTGTTTTGTTCATCCGCATAATACAGGTAGAAGATGCCGTCGTCTTCTGTGTATAAATTCTAGTCAATGGAAATCAGTATCAGTACGTCAGTGTTCCAGTGTGCGCCAGTGCAACAAGTGCAGTCAGTGTCAGTGTATGTACTGGCTCAGTGAACACCAATGTCGGTGCAAACAGTGGAACCAGTGCAATCAGTGTCAGTGTATGCACTGATTCGGTGAACACCATGTCGGTGCAGACACTGCAACCGAAGCAGTCAGTGTCAGTGTATGTACTGATTCACTGAACGCCAGTGTCAGTGTAT